CCCGTCAAATAACGTGACGTTCCAGCGGTGTTATAGTGACAGGCATTTCTCCTCACAGGTCATCGAACAATGTACCGTAGGGTAAAATTGGACGAAACAAAGCCACCCAACGATCTATGGGCGGGAGCATCTGAAGTCATTGTAAACCACAACTTACTGACAGCATCCTTGACTGGGAGGCTCATGCCATACCACAGTCACTGATGTAAGCGAGTAGGCAGTGGAACATCAAAGGTCACTGTAACGCATTCCTGATCGACAGTATCATCGACTAGATGAATCGAGGCATATCAGAGTCAATGATGCGAACAACTGGGCAGTGACTGCGGCCGCATTCTCCCGGACCGACAAAGTTCAGAACGCGCAGATATCATCGCCGCCGGCCATAGACCACTGAATAGAGCAGATATTGCCGCAGCTAGTCGCACGCCCTCGTTAACAACCTGTAGACCCTCATCAATAGCGCGAACGAAATAGCTATGACGGTGCTCGGACCGACTCGACTAGTGACATCAAATAAAGATAACCCCCGTCGACTTAGACCGTCCTGGACCGACTCGACTAGTGACATCAAATAAAGATAACCTCCGTCGACTTGGACCGACTTATGACATAAAATAAAGATAATCCTCGCCACTTGACACAAGCATATTCCAGCTATAAGGCAGCTAAATCCCGCACAATTGAGATTATAAGCGACCATAGACCACTGAATAGAGCAGACATTATCGCAGCTAGTCGCACGCCCTCGTTAACAACTTGCAGGCCCTCACCAATAGCGCGAACGAAATAGCTGTGACGGTGCTCGGACCGACTCGACTAGTGACATCAAATAAAGATAACCCTCGCCACGTGACAATAAGGCAGCTCAATCGCACACAATTGAGATTATAGGCTCTGATGAACACGAGATCGACAAACAATCTCGTGCTTGAAAAAGAGCCAGTGTGACGCAACCCCCCTTCTTTTTTTTTTTGTTTCTTTTTTGTTTTCTTTCTTTTTGACAATCTTTACTTTTTTTATACCGCTCGCAGGGCGTCACTACTGCGTGGCGGTCCTCCTCGGACGGAGTGTTTTTTTTTTTTTGTTTTTTTTTTTTTTTAAACAACAATAGGGAAAAAGTCTGGGCATCACAGAGGGGAGGTGGTGGGTGACCGCCCCGAATGCAGACCGTAGATCTCGAGATCGGCAACAGCTGAGGCACGAAGATACCCGCGAGAGTCTAGAGCATCCACATGCATAATATTGTTGCCGAGTACCTCACATACTCGCATACGGAAAGTGCGACCATTAACCTTTCCCACCGTCACGAAGACTCCCCCATTCAAACGGTGCCGATAAGAGGGCCGGAATGGTCCGTGCCAGGGCGCCTTGGAATCCTTCGGTAAGTCATACAAATGTAATAGGAGTCGGCCATTATCAGCATGCCTCTCAATGACACGCCCAACATGCCAGACTTTTCGGTCGTCAGTGGAACCGGCGACGAGAAGAATCGTACCCACTCCCACAGAGTCGGGAATGACATTGAAATCCCAAAAATCCGCAGGTGGTGGTAGACTGTATCGCTTTTCATAATAACCTCTCATATCCTCAGGACAGTCGACCATATAGTTGGTATGAGCCACAAACGAATCGAGCCAGACACTCCCAGGATCCAGACTATCAGCGAGCAGGTAGTTGACAGCACTCAGCTTCTTCACCACAACATAAGGTCCATGCCAACGGCGAACCAACTTTGAGGATCCTCCTCGCATATCACCCAACTCACGATAGTATAGGACATGGGAGCCGAGAGGAAAATCCTCTACTCGGGATTCGTCATTCCATTCTTCCTCCCGTCTGTCCTGAGAGAAGCTGCGCACCGAAGCAAAACGTTCACGGATTTTCGTAAGCGTGCGCTTCAATTTAATATAATAATCATCAACTTCGGGCTTCACCTGGGACAGCACATCTTGTAACATCTGATCGAGCATAGTATGAGGGATACGACCATATAACAACTCGAATGGGGAAAACCCACAATCTCGTCTCGGAATAACACGTAGAGCATGCTGGACAACCGGCAAGGCTCGCCACCACTCCCCTCCGAACTCCTCAGCCCAGATCTTGAGTTTGCGCACCAACTCCTGGTTTATACGCTCTGTGCACCCATTAGTCTGGGGCCGGTGCCCCGAGGACACGAGATGAGTTATGTTGAGGGTCCGACAGATGCTGCCCATAACATCGTTCAGGAATTCTCCTCCTCGATCCGACAGTAGTTCACAAAATGGGCCATGTCGCAATATCCAATTGTCCACGATAGCTTGTGCCACCTCCTTAGCTTCCTTAGTGTAAAGTGGAGCCAATTCCAACCATCCAGTATAGACGTCTAACATAACCAAACAATAAAGAGGGAATGCCGACTGATCCTGCGGAGTGTACTGAGGTAAATGAATTGGGCCAACCAAATCAATACCCACCCGTTGCATCGCAGCAGCAACATGACGTGAATGTTGATGCACATTACCGTAAACCGAGGGCCCCCTCCTGATACTACGACAAGTTATGCAGTGGCGGACGTAATCAGAGCAATCACGCCACATGCCCTTCCAGTAGAACTGTCTCCTCAGCATATTATACATCCCATACCGACCAGGATGGCCGCTTTCGAGCCCATTATGGTAGAGGTCAAGAAGAGAGGCACGTAGGGCTTGGGGAACCACAATTTGATGGAAGATTGTGTCGAGCGACTCATCATACTGCGTGCGCTTCAAGAGCTGGTCTAAATAATGTCGCTCCGCCTTCGCTCGGATCTTAAGAACCGTATCTTTGGTCAGTCCCGCAGTGTCACCGTTGAGGAACTTGATGAGGGGTCCAATCTCCGGATCCTCTTCTTGCAACTGCTTCACATATCGGAGCGTTTCCGATGAAGGATCGCGACGACGAAGGTCCGCGAGTAATGATGCGTCCAAAGACTGCTGAATTCCTTCCGGAACCTCGCCATCGTCAGCCTCCTGCACCCCGGGATTATCATAATCTATTGCAGCTTGTAATCCCTCACACTCGGCATCCCCTTCGCTGAAATTTCTCTTGCAGCTCGTACAGTAGAGCGAGCCAGTAGCACGCGGTCGCCTGCAGGTATCATTCTTACAGAGATCCACACAGTATTTGCAGAGGCGCTCTATACCATCCGAGAGATCGGCAGTCCTAGTACAGCCGTACTTCTGGCAGGGATTACTATAGGCTGCTTGACGCCGAGTTCGAGATGCCGACGGAGATGGTTGTAGCCTACGCACCGGTTTGTGATGAACCATCGCTTCTGCCGCCTTACGGACAGCGACGTCGTCAGGATCCTCGCTACCGGTAAAGCAAGTATAACTCGATAACGCCTCCTCAACTTCCTCCACGAGTAACGGCCCAATCCATTCTACCAATTCGGGGGCGAGCAACGGTAGGAATGTAGATGAAGACACATCAATCTCCTTAGAAAGCGGAAAGCCTATATCCAGGGCGGCCGTTGCAGTCTCCATACTACAACACCGCGGCACTTAACCAGACGAATACCTCCACGTTCAATCCTAACAGCGTCAAATGTAACACTGGGATGGAGCTGCTTGACTGCCGCGAGGACAGCTTTTAGCGGACGCCGAACAGTCCAGGTTTCTGGTGACATCCCAAGGTGACTCTTGGAGATGGGAACCACACCGCACACATGTCCAACCCACTCCTGTAACAATAGGTTCGCACTGGATGGCAAGTCATCATAACCAATATAGTCAATCTTCTCACAGCATTCGACCACACCTGCTATAACACGATCCTTCAATTCTAGTAGTAGTTTCACCACCGGGGACCGCTTGCAGTCGGCCTTCGTCAATACCACTGATCGGATAGAAAGGGGTGGTTCAGGACCGAGTTTAGCAACCTTGTTGAGAAGCTCCTGAAACCCCGAGCTGTCGCGGGACACGTCACATTGCTCCATATCACCGATCACCACCATCCGACTTCCTATTCCGGCGCGAGTGAGCACGGCCCATAATTCCGACGCCGAGCAATTTTGAGCCTCGTCGAGTATCAGCCAAGTGTCGTCCAAAGAGTAACCACGGATCATCGAGATCGGTATGACTTGTATGCTGCCCTCCGCTTGCAACTCCTTCACCCTCCCCTCCGACAAAAACCGGGAGAGGTAACTCAGGAGCGGGCGCACCCAGAGAGCCATCTTCTCCGCGACGCTTCCCTTAACATATCCGATATCCCTACCAACGGGCACCACGGGTCGCGTTATGATGATTCTTTTAACCCTGCCCTTGTCGAGCGATTTGGCAGCCGCCTCACAAGCCAGCATGGATTTTCCCGTTCCGGCCGGTCCGGATACCAGTACAACCTCCGCACGCGGGTCCTCTAGAGCCTCGAGATACTCGGATGTCTTCTCTGCCATCCCGCTGCCCTCCTGAACTGTCGCCACTTCGACGGGTACGGTCGAGCCCCCCTGCCCCTCTAGCGGCTTGGGAGAGACTCTACTCAGCATATCAGCAACCGCATTCAGTCTCCCTTCCCGATGTACAATCTCAATGCCGTATGCCGAGAGCCTTATAGCCCAACGCATCAGACGCGGCGTGGTGTGTTCGGTAGTCAGCAGCCAGCGCAAGTTTGCAGCATCAGTGACCAATTTGAAGGGTCTATCTTGCAGGTAAGGCCGGAACTCCTCGACGAATATGACGGCAGCGTAACATTCCTTCTCCTGAGAGGTCCAACTCCTCTCAAGATCACCTACGGCTCTCGAGCCGTAAGCGATCACTCTCTCTCTGTGCTCCGCGTCCCTTTGAATCAGAACTCCTCCATACCCAACATCAGATGCATCCGTGTGCAACTCAAATTCTTTGCTGAAATTCGGCCAAACGAGGAGAGGGTCAGAGGTCAACAACCGCTTGAGTTCGGCGACCGCGATATCACATTCGTTGTCCCAACCAACGCCGTCCTTCTTGAGAACCGCTCGCAATGGCGCGGTGACGCGAGAATAGTCCTTCAACCACTTCCGGAAATAATTGGTGCTCCCCAGAAAACTCCGGATATTCTTGAGTGGGGAGTCTCGTCCCAGCGGCATGTCGAGTATGGCATTCACCTTAGCCTCATCCATACGAACGCCTTCGGCAGATATACGCATTCCAACGTACTTCAGAGTTGTGCGGAAGAGTTGCATTTTCCTCGCAGTCAGCGTGATGTGGGCATCTCGAGTCAAATCAAAGAATAATTCTAATGCCTCGAAGTGGCCTGCCCTCAGCAGCGAGTACAGGACCGCGTCATCCAAATAGAGAATACAGCACCGGTATAAGATTGGAGCATAAGCACGATTCATGCCGCGCTGATAAGTAGGAGGACTGCCCGCTAGTCCCATAGGCATCCTCCTCCACTGGAACTGGCCCACATGCGTCCCAAACGCGGTGAGATATCTCGACTTTGAAGCCAATGGCACCTGCCAGAATCCACTCTTGGCATCGAAGGCAGAGTATATCTTCGACGAACTGAGCTCATCAAGCACTTGTGCAACCAGGGGAAGCGGGTACCGAGGGATCTCCGTGAGCTGGTTCAGTCTTCTGAAGTCCTGGACCACCCTCCAGCCGCCACCCTTTTTTGCGATGAACATGACTGGGGACTGCCACTCGCTCTGGGACGGCTCGATAAGGTTCTGGGAGAGAAGGTCCTTGACATGCTCCTCCAGGGCTTGCTTCTGCTCGGGTGACATACGGTAGGGTGCACAGTAGACTGGATGGGCGCCCGGAGACAGCTGTATCTCATGAAACACCCCAGTCATCTCCGGAAGATCACGGCCCTCATAATCAAATACATCCCAATGCCTCAGAACCAGTTCTTCTAACCGGGCCTTCTCTGTCGAGTTACCCGCCACGCAGGTCTCATCAAGATGCAAGTGAGATCGCAACCATTCCTTGACATTCTGCGGAGGTGCGGCCGGGCGGGGCTTGAGGGGCTTGTAAGTAGGCAAGCTATCAGGTCGACTTGATCGTCGCGGTTCACGCCACATAAAATCTTCATCTAAGCGCGGCAGAGCCCTCAGCGGGCACTCACTCGCCTCTACATCGCATACCATAGCACTCACGGCGTTGTACAGACCGCAAGTTCTAGCGTCTTCTTCGAGGTCGACTTCGTCGCTGTAGAGGAGTGGTGCTATCAAGTCGAGAAGAGTCGATGGAGGAAGCTCACTAGATCTCAATCCCGCAATAAGTTCTCGCATAAGGCGACATCGTACCTCCCGCTGTTCTTCGAACTGCTCATCCGATCCCGTTTGGGACTCTTTCTGGCCAACGAATGTTTCCACGGCAGCCTGGTGACACTCCCCGTCGAATGAGCAATGGCCTATGATATCGTTCGATCCGCATTGAACTGCAACATCCGTGGCCCCCCAGAAAGAGGGTCGAAGCTCGGCAAGTATCGGACAATGATCAGGTCGGTACCCCAAACCGAACTCCGCGTAAAACACAGTAGAGTCTACGACACAGTCGCTCTGTTCGGAGGATACAAGGATATAATCAATCCGCCTACCGAAGTTAAGCTTCTTCTCATACGCATTGCAATAGAAACTGTAAACGCCAGCTACTTCGGGATGGACGATTCTGAATGTATCGCATAAAGATACTTCTCGCTGCAGTCTCTCAAAAGCCTCAACCTCGCACGGCTGAATCGATGGACTATGTGGCGCCTCCCTTCGAGTATCACCAATGTCAAGATCAGATCCACACGCATTGAGATCGCCAGCTATAATTAGAGGCTTCTCTCCAGCCCGCGACCGCAACCACTTCATATATCGACGGAAAGCCACATCCCACTTTGACCGATACTCCAGGAAACGGAGGTCACCTCCGGAGTTAGGTACATACACGGCAACGAGAGTGCATTGCCGCAACTCTATGGTAAGAACTCGACCCGATGTAGTATCTTCCTCCTCATCTTGTTCCCCATCAAAAAACCGGGACGGTATACCAGTAATAGGCTCGTGGATAAGACAAAGGCCATCGTCGTAGCCAACGTCAACTGCTCTTTTCAGAAGGACCGCCACACCCGCATAGCCCTTTCGGCCGGCCGACTCAGCGGAGAACACATCGTACCGAACGGGAAGAGAGTCTAGCAACTTGGTGAAAGCCCTGTCTTTCTTCTCCTGCGTAAGCTTAGTCTCAGTGAGAACCATGATCGCGGGTAACTCGTTGCGGACCAAGCGATTAAGACAACTCACATTGGCTTCGGACTTCAAGAAACCTCTCAAACCATTAATATTCCATGATAGCATCGAAGGCCCTCCTTGCCGTTTGCGGGTAATTGCGGGCCGATGGATACGCTTGGGCTTTGGGTCATCCGGATTGAGTATCTCTCCAACTACGGATTCAATGAGAGCTACTTGGACCTCTTCAATGGGATGTTGTAATGGTGGAGGCTTTGGCAAGCCGGTAGAGACCACTGTACTCTCATCGCCGCTTTCAAATACCCGCCCATCCTCCGGGATCCCGATATACGAAGGATCAACCGCAAAAGGTAGTTCGTTCTCTTCCCCAGGAAATCGAACCACCACGCGCCGCTCAGTGGTTGTGGGAAGATACCCCACAACGATACACGCCTTGCGCTGCTCTGAACAGCGATAGAGAGCAGCACGATGAGTTATGGTCTCCATGTTGTGTACGTCGAAGTTTTCCTCAATACATGTCGCCTCCCCCAAGATCGTCCCAGCTTCCAGTAGCTGATCCGTTGCGGAACGATTACGCACTAGTATTCGGGCAGCGTAGGTGCCAGCCGCGACAGTTACAACACACTCGGGAAACTCCAGGCCCTTCGGAAGCAAGCTCAGCGAGGGAGTAATCAACAGGGGATGCTCAGCAGTGACTACGCCCCCAACAGTCACCGGGACCTGTAGGACCCCGTCTTGCGGGATGACCGTGACAGCACCGCAAAGCACCTTCGCATGTTCTTGAGAGTCAGGAGCCTTCTCACGGAATCCCATACTACGCTCCAGGGGTAGTGCGATTCTCCAACGTTCTCCTGTTTCCGAACGAATAGACTCCTTCGGGATCAGACATGAATCGAGATTGTTATTGTATCGCTTTTCGACATCCACAACGATGAGGTTAGGGGCCCCCCTCCAGAAACTACGCCAGTTCCAGGAATGGAGTGTGTTGTTGCCGATGAGGAACTTCAGAGTTAGTCCCGGGGCGATCAATGCCTGTACGAAAGAACACAGGGAATACTCCTGGGACCCCAGTGGCTTCAGGTGAACCTTCATGACGACGAAAGTCTTCGCGGTAATCGCCTCACCTCCAGTAACTCCAGTGAGTTTGAAGCCAGTACCCCTCAAGGAATAAGGACCACGAGCACATCCCTCCTTAATTAACTTGGTAGCCACATCGGGTCTTATCAAAGTCACCGGGTTACCAGCATCTGGTGGACTAACCAGGAGCTCGTCACCGCACTTGATACTGACCGAACGCGTCAGATTATAGGGTTGCCCGCTAGGGGATTCGATATCGCTCCGGATCCCTTCATAATCACGGGCAGGCATACCTGTGTCATCCGAATTGGCGGACACATGACCACAAGTAGTTGCGATCAGGGCACCGGTTCCGAGGGAGCAGAATATATCGAACGGATCCTCGCCATCTTCCACATAATCATCGCCATCGTCATCTATCGATGAGGCACGACAAAGACCAACAGTCTCATGATCGGACGGAAACTCTACCGCACTCGATGACCCTTCTACGCA